ATTTTTAAACATTGTTATTGAAAGGAAAGGTTTGGAAATTTAAATAATTTGTTTTTAAGAAACAGACTACATTTTAACATAGCAGCTCATTTTGAAACCTGGACGCTTTCCTAACTAAGGCTAGGGCTCGTTCAGGACTAAGATTCTACAGTTAGGAAGCAATAAACCAGTGCGTTTATCATGTGAGAACCACTGACCAAATGACTCGCAGTCATTCTTGGAACTAGAGCCTTTCCTGGTATATGTGGGGTAAATTCCCTTTTTCTGTGAGATGTGTCTACCAATCATAAGGTATTGAAACTGGCAGCTTCCTGATTCAGTTAAAACTGGATAATGACTTTTGCCCTCGTAGTGGTCAGATTTTCTAAACTCAAGTAAATTTAGAGCAAAACAATTATACAAAGTCTATGGCTAACATGTACTTGCAATCATAACTTTTCTGTTTGTTAAATTTTTATCCAAAAAAGTCGCTGCACTGAAATGTTAACTTCCTCTTTAGAATCTTTAGAACGGTGCTAACAATTGCATAAGACTTGTCAAGACTGTGCCCGCCCCCCTCCCCACCCCCACTGGAAACACTTGCGAAGGGGTGGATGAGACATCGCTTGTAAAGCATTTAGCAGAGCCCTTGACATATGATAAATATTTTAAAACACTGTCTAGCATTTTGATTATCGCTTGTACTCCCACACAATTAGGGCATTTCGTACTACTCTGATGTGGCAAAATCCACTTTCTTAGCCTAGCATTGAAGACTCTCCATCTGTGTGTTGCCTATAAATAAAAATGGAGAGAGTAACCATGCCCTTGTAGGATCAGAGCACTGATTAAAGCAAATGGGGACGTGGGCACTAGTCATGTTTCTCAGGTATGTCCAATTACTTCCTCCTCCTCTGAACTATGGTCATTTCCTTGATTTACCCGACCTAGTTAGGGCTAACTTTCTAATTTACAGAGTCTTATATACCAAATATAAAGATCTGAAAATTCCAAGTAAAAATAGGTGAAGTATTTGGTCACATAGCAAATATACATTAATAATCCATTGAAATAATTTGACTCACTTGAAAAGCTATAAATTGGAGCAATACTATTTTTAACCTTTGGGGGAAAATTGAAAAGAACCACCAGTATTGGTAGTAGTGCAGAGATCTGGGCCTTATGATATACTGTTATAGTGTTTCAACCTTTGCTGGGAACAGCTTAGCTTTATTTACCAAAATACAATATGCACATTTCGGGGTTGAGGATAGAGCTTAGCCATGGAGCACTTATCTGGCAAGTTTGAGTTCTTGAGTTTGATTTTTGGTACCCAAAACACACATACAAAAAAAAAGAAAAACCCAAAAAACCAAAACAAAACAAAATGCACATTTATTTGATTTACCACTTCCAGAGCTATAAATTAAATTCAGAAATGCACTGAGGACCTGTATACATGATTGAGTTTTAGCTCAGTGGCAGAGTGCGTGCTTAGCACACAGGAAGACCCTGGTGTTAGGAGAGGAAAAAGCACACAAAGAAAATTATGCCTTTATGTACACATTTCCGGTGTGCATTGAGAGGGTAAAGTGTGTAGGAAAAGAGACATAAACAGAAATACTTTTTAAAAAAGAAAAACACATAAGAAACTGAAAAGTGGTTACTTTTGGGAGAACAAGGTAGAGAAGGGGACAGGTAGAATGGAATAATGTTTGTGCTCTCTTCAAATCCTGTAGGGTTATAATAATATCCTTTGATATATTTTCTTCTCTTTTTTCCTTTTTCTCTTTTTCTTTTCTCTCTCCCTCCCCCTCATTCTTTCTTTAGTGTTGCGTGGGCAAGTTCCCTGCTACTGAACCACACTCCCAAATCCTTTTTCCTCCTAATTATTTATGAGGTAAAGTTGATCTTTGAAAATCAGGATGTGATATGAAATCCTAAACAGAATAGCCTTCCTGTGTTTCTGGTCTTGCCTCCTCTGACTAGCAGCAGAAAGTTTGCATAATTTTCCTGTGTATCAAAAGCCTAGGAATGAAGTTCTATTCCACGAGGTATTTTCTGTTTATCTTATTGAGGTTCCTAGAAATGTCTGTCCCAGTGTGAGACTGTTGCTGAGTGACACATTCACTTCCTCTCTAATTGAAGTAGCCTGTATCAGCCGCAGCCCATGTAGTTTTGTTTGGCTCAGCAGACACATTTGTGTATTGTGAACTCCACTCTCACCTTCGCTGGACTTGAGCGCAGAATTAACAATACTTGTAGAATGGAAGAATGGATGATGGAGAAATGAGAGGATACAGGGTGGGATAGGAGAGCAGGGAGGGAGCTCCTGGTCAGATGAGCTCGTTCCCCTCTTCCCTGCTCCTAGCAGCAGCGCTGTTTTACGCATTTCAGTCAGGCAGGCAGAGTGTGGATTACCTTTGCGGAAGGCACAGCCTGCTGCCCTCCTGCGCAGCTTTTCTCCTGGTCTCTTGGGGTCTCACCTTTTTCTCAGAACGCCCCCTGAATGTACTCCAACATCAACCACTCTTTTATTCACATCTTTCTAGTTTTCCATCTCTAGTAATGAGCCCAGATTTGACCTGATTAACTGTTCTTCTTTTCCCTTTTGACTGTTTTGGTTTACACAACCTAGGACTTAACTTTTTGTTAACATCTTTGCACAAATAGCATGCGTGCCTGGGCCAGGCACCAGCACAGGGTGGGAACCTCGAAGTCCTAACCTTGGATATTACATCTATGTCTCATTTACATAACACACAGCTCCTGCATAGCTGGCCTTTGTTCCCAGCTTGTCAGAGTAAGACAAATATAGAGGCATAAAATTATTTTAAATGGCTCATTTGAGCATTGGATATAACTTATTAACTGGATTAATAAAAGACACAATTTACTATTATGCTGGAGTTCAAATATGGAGAATCAGGAGAGTTAGAAGTGACCATAACAACAATCTGTGACATCATCATTCCACCCCACAAATGATATAAAAGTCTCACATAGCCTCTATCTTAGTCCAGATACTCCAAGCGGCAGCACCACTTATCTTTTGTACATGTAAAGCAAGAACACTGCTTTATATGGAAGTCACTGCCACTTACATAATCACCTCTGTAAGAATATGGAGTCTGTTCTTTAATGTGAAAAATGTGGCTGTGAGCTTTTTACTTGCTGACGGTTGAGTGCATTCGTACTTCTAAGCTACGGAGAAGGTCTGAAGTCTTACTCTGGCCACATGTGCCACCAGTGACTGTTAGAAGAGGGTTGCACAAGCACAGGGGGCTCGACAGAGCTTCCTGCCACCACTTACGTCATGTAGGTGAGAAAGGCACTGAGGGGCTCCAGGGAATGACTGCGGAAATAGGCAAACTCTCTGCAGAGCTTTCTCCTCATCTCTGTGTCAATTTTGGAAACTGTGAGAGGATTTGTCTCATTAGCCAAGAAGTTTCCGTAATCAGTGGTCTGGAGATGAATTTTCAGATCTGAAATTAAGCGACACATCAAATCAAGTTAGACTTTGAAAATGCATGAATAGCTTTTTCAGCATTAGTTGAATTTGTGATAACTTTAAGGTAAATACATACTTATTACCTTATCAGACTTCAGGGTAAGATTTATGTGTTACTTACACTTGAGGGTTTATCTCTAGCAAAGAAAAAGTCAATATAAATATTATTTCAGCATGGCATTAAAAATTTCAGCTATCTAACAAGTCTGGCTTTTTTAATTTTAAAGAGTAAAAATAAGAAGAAAAACAAAAACAAAGACAGAGCATAACATATAATACATATGGTACAGAATTTTAAAACAAGAATAAAAGATTAACAGTGGCTGCTATATTATGTATTTTTATTGTAAAAATCTATTGCTTGACTAACTCTATATGCTAATATCTATAATCTGATCAACTACATCAAGAACAGCAATTTGTGATACAAAAACCACAGCTGAATACCTCTCCAATGAGAAGAAAGATTTGTACCAATAGTGTTTGGACAGGATATCATGTCTGCATCTTGTACTATGAAGAACCACTACAAAGACAACAATATGCAAAATTTTAATTATTGAAACTGTCCTATTAATTGGGTTTGAAACTGTCTCATTGCTATTTATTTCTCAATAAAATTAATAAAAAATTACCTCTCCTCTTGTTCTTTGGAATATGTACTATTTCTAATGTCTTATCGATTATTATCATATTCTCTTTAAAATAAATTAAAAAATAAAAAGTAAAAACAACAAGAAAAAATTAAAAGCAAGCTTGTTTATTGAAAGCAAGCATTAATGTTTAATTATTCTGGCATTTCTTTATGGAGCTAAAATAATTGACAAACACCTAAGTAGGGATGGTTTTACCTGAGCTGGGGTCAGTCATTTGAACACGGATACTTGGGAAACTGTTGAATGGGATACTAAGGCTCCATCTAAACTGGGTAGAAAAGAGAAGCTTATAGTCAACAACTGTCACAGGTATTAGGGGGTCGGGTAGGCAGTCACTACTGCCCAATGTCAGCACCCTTTTATCACAGATGAAGAAATCACAGCTGAACAATGGAGTAATAGAACAGCTGGCGTTGTCCTAGAAAGTGAGATTCTTTGCTTTTAAAATCTAATTTAATTTTTACCAGACCATGCTATGGGTTATTAAAATAGAGTCAATCGTTTTGCGGACAGATCATTTAAATTCTAGTTTCATTTATTGTTACTTTCTGTTCCACCAACCATATGCGTGCTAGCATCTTTAATGTGGACCATATCCCGCTCCCTAGAATACCTCCATGCCTTTTCAAGCTTGCTAATTTGAATCCTTCAAGGTCTGATTATAGCGCTGAAATAATTGCTACCAGTGACTGAGTGCTTATTATGTACTAGATCATGTGCTAACCTTACACTGTCTCACTGTCTCGTGTAGGCCTCACAGCTACCCTTTGAGATAAGAATGATACCTGTCCCCTCTTCAGGTAAGAACACAGAAGCTCCAAGAGATGAGAAACTATCTCAAGATCACATGAGCAAACTGTAAACTGGGATTTAAAGGTGACTGCAAACTCACTTAAAACTTACACTTCATTGTCAAACAATACTATCAGATTGTCATTTGTTCTGTAAAGCCTCAATTCTCTCAGGCAGAATTATTTAAGTTCATTCATCTGAGTTTCAAAGTACTTGGATAGTAGCTTTAATATAGCACAAGATATATAGGGGTTATTTGTTGTTGTTGTTTTTGAGTCAGGGTTTTGCTATAGAGTTCAGACTTCCTTTGGCCTCACTGTGTAGCCCAAGCTGGCCTCAAGCCTATAGCAATCCTGCTGCTTCTGCCTCCTGAGTGCTGGGAGTACAGCTGTGTGTGTGCCAGCATGCCTCGTGTGATGCATAGTTTTAAGTATGATAACCCCAAAAGGGGGTTATACTGTCTTAGACATAGCTTCTACCTGTGACTTCCTGCAAAGTCTCTAACATGTGAGTCTTACATGAATGTCTAAGGTGCTACGGGACTATCTAAAATGTCTTTGGCTCTACCTAGTGTATAAACTGGGGCCATAATAGTGGCCTGGGTCTTATTGGCTCTTACATTCAAACATCCACTGAGCAATTATTGTGTGCTGTCAACTGCATGAACCTAAAGGTGATTATCCTTGTATTATTCATCTTGAAGGAAACATCCAGTCTGGTGGGGGAGAAGACTACCATCCTCATGTCTTTCAAGAAAGGACAAAAACAAAAACAAAAACAGAGACAAAACAAAACTGAAAGGGGCTGAGAACGTAGCTCAGCACAGAGGTCCTGAGTTGAGGTCCAAAGCTACACACATAGAGGAAAGGAAACATACAAAACAGCAAGCAACGGGCTACATTCAGCAATAAGAACGTTGTCTTATGAGAATGGAGACACTAAGACCAAGATCTACAGGGATGGGAGCAAGAGGCCTAGGAATATTTCCCGAAGAAGATCAAGCCATAGATGGGTTTAAAGTGCTGAGTAAAAGTAGAAGGAAGATGCCCCCTGAGTTAGGACAGGAATGGTGTGTTTAAAGAACTACGAGCAGGTCAGTGATGGATATTACATGGTAGATGTGGAAATTTAGTACGGAACTGCATAGACCCAGCAGTCTACTGGGTACACATCCACAGGAAATGGAAGCGGCGCATGAAGGAGGATTCTGCGGCCTCATGCTCTCTGCAGCGCTGTCCACACCAGTCGGGGTACGGAAGCTCAATGTCTGTCAGTGGGTACAGGGATAAAGAAATGTGGGATCCATTCAGAGGGAATACTGCTCAGCCAGCGAAGGAAGGACAGTCTGTCGCTTGTAATGACAGAGATATATCTGGAGAATGTAATGCTAAGTGAAATAAGTAAGGCACGAAAGGTAAGTACCACATGTTCTCTCTGAGATGCCAAATCTAAAAGTTTTTGAGCTTCTGGAAGTGGAGAGTAGAATGGGGGCTATGAGAGAGTGGGAAGGATTTCAGTGGAGAGATGGTGGGCAAATGACACAAAATTTCAAGTAGGTAGAAAGAATAACTTCAAAAGATCTATTGTATAACATAGTGATTATAGTAAATAACAATAT